ATTTTCAGTTCCTATCTGTACCAGTGTACATCCTCTGGTCTAGCCAGACTTGCAAGGTCAAATTCGAGTCATGGTAATGGGAACGGGGAGGAAACATTTAGGAACTAGAGGAAAGTTGTATTTCTCATCGTTGTTACATTGCACTCTGACTGGCTCATCTCCTCCCCGAGACCCCTCTGCAAGGAGATCTCCAGTACTGGCCCTTTCTTCTATCTACTCATCAAATATCCTCACCTTCCCAACCTACCCAGCCCATTTTGTACTAGGGCGATAAATCCCATGATTTCAAGAAGGGAGGCCCCATCCTCAGTCCCAACTCAAAAACAAATTCACTGCCAGAGGGCAGGGTCGAACTGCCCCTGTGGGCTTCTGAGACTGCCACTCTGCATGTGGAGTCCAAACCCCCTCTTCCTCCCGAGGAGGAGCAGTGGTTTCAAACTGCTGACCTGACAGATCGCAGCCCAATGCATAACCACTTTGCCACCCGGGTTCGTTACCTTCAGACCCAGGAGCCAGTCAATGCACCTGCCTTTGCCAGGAATTGGCTTATGATTTCTGTGGTAGTTATGTAATGTGTTGTCAACTGGAGACTGTTCAGAGTCAAGGGGTGGCGTTTAGCCTGTCAGTCAGGTTGCAGCGATGACCTCATTTGGAGGTGCTAAGGAGATAAACAGCTCGCTGGAAGCAGGACACACGCTCACAGCTCACTGTGAGACAGTCCTGCTGACAAGACCCATGGAGCTACACTAGAGCCCTAGACCTGGTGGAGCACATGGAGCCAGCGCTGAGATGCTTCATGAGACATCTGCCCTGGGAATGCATGGCTGGTCCTCTCAGTGTGCAGGACCTGGGAAAAGAGGAAGAACCCAGTTCTTGAGGCCTTGCTGAGCCCTGACTCAATAGTGAGCGAGTACTCACTTGTGGGATTCTTTTCATGAGAAAAAAAAAACACATTGGCATTTGTGTCAATGACAGTAAGTCAGCTTTTTTTCTTCTTCCAATTTTAATTGTATACATTTCCTCTTCTGGGATAGTTTGTTCGTATAGCTCAAAAGTCAAAAAGCAACAAGAGTGACCAGTGAAATGTCAGTCTACCACTCCTGTCTTTCGGTTACTAAGTCCCCTCCCAGGAAGCAAGCCCTGATACTGCTTCGTGGTTTATGCATGCTCAAGCAAATAGATGCAAAAATACTCTTTCCTCCACTTTCCCCACAAATGGTAACCCACTCTCTATTCTTGCCCTTGCCCTTTTTCCTTGATCAAAATAGCTTAGTCATAATACCTGTTGTATAAGAATCAATCAAAAAACCTTCCTCATGACTCTGTCTATTGTAACTCTTCATGGTATATGGCTGCACCAGGTAGCTTGACCTCTTTTTAAATTTTTTAAAATGATTTTTTGGGGGGCTCATACAACTCTTATCACAATCCATACATACATCCATTGTGTCAAGCACATTTGTACATTTGTTGCCATCATCATTCTCAAAACATTTGCTTT